GAGTCATGCTGGAGAAAGCAGGCCAAAGCTTCTTTTGGTGGGATGGGCTTGACCTGGTTTCCTTGTGGATGTGTTGCTGGGGGTTACGGTGTCCTTGACAACAGGAGGCGGGGGTTCAGGCAGACTTCTGTGTTGCTACTGTTTTATGTGAGTGCTTATGAGAAGTTTGCTGTCATTTCTTGGCTTATTATCTCATAGTAACAAATAACTAGATTCCAGTGAGGACAAGTCTCAAGTTGGTTTGGTCATTGCACACTAGATCTACTTGCACTGCTGTTGAGTATTTTTTGGAGTAATAATGCATACACGCTGCTGATGCACAAATATACACAGACAAGGTCCAAAGCTGTAAAAAAAAAGAAGAAAAAAAAAAAAACACAGCCACCCAACATCCCATACCTTCCCAATACAGTGTACCTGACAAAAGTTGTATACTGTATAAAACAATGATTATTGGAGTACATTTTACATGAAAATACTAGTGTATTTCAGTCTGTCTGCTTCAAAATTTGAATTAAATGCCATTTCTTTGTAATTAATTGTAAAATTTAATAGCAAATGCGGAGTAAAAATTGTTTATTCTCCATATTCTTTTTCAGTGTCATTAAAACCCTTCAGAGCAGCAGTCTTTTCATAATGTTGAGCATACAATCCTCTGCAAATTGTAGTTTATTTTGTGACAGAGAGCTCATTCGATTGTGCTGCCTTCAGTTCTGTAGACGACCCTGAAGAAATGCTCTTTCCTCCTGATACATGCTCAATGTGTTGAAAACACTGATGTCAGTGAATGCTTGATGCAGCCCGCTAACATTCATTCAGCACTTACCAGCTGTCTCTTAACAAAGGATAAAACTATGCTGTCTGTTAAATAGCTGAAAATTAGGCCCTATTCAAGACACAAAGCCAGATGATGTCACATTCACTTGATTCACTTTTTATATAATGAAATCTTAAAAACTTCTACAGGGTCTGAGCTATTGCACACAGTAGGGTCTTGCATTAGTGTACTAGAGACTAAAGTGAAAAGGGAATGAAGAAGCTTTGATTGCCATCGATGTCAGGAAGAACTGCATAAAAGACAAATCAACTCTTTTACTTGTCAGATATTTGCTGAATTGTTTGCTTAGTTGTCGAGTAAATTGATTGGTATGTGTGATGCATTGAAACACTTATTCACGGCTCCTTGGCAAAGATGTGATGCTTGACGTAGTGCTGAACTGGCTTGTGTCATATTGTGGTGGTGGTCACAGTGCTGTCAGATTTGCAAACAAATTTTTGTATTTACGCCATTTTTTTTTTTTTACCCAGATTTGTTTGAAACGATTCATAAACTGTTTGTGAATTGCTTGAATGCAATGGAGAATGTGGTTTAGAGGTAAAACTGTGAAATGGGTTACAATGAGACATGGTCTTGAAAACATATGTAAAAAAAAAAACTAAAATACACTTAAAATGCCATGCAGGCACATGGGGGAAAATGATTCACTAAAATGAATCAGACCTCCCGATAAGAATTAAAGACTTTTAGTTAAGCTTTATTGACAGCATTTGTCACATAATGTCAATCACCACATAAAGGTTGAACATTTAGTATTTGAAAAGTATAGCCAAAGTTATATAAAAAAGTCATAATATTTCAATGCCAATGCTGTGATCATATTACAAAGTTCTGCTTACGCAGAGAAAAATCCAACCACAGGAATTATCAGTATCAGTATACTTGAAAGGTATCCCCACCTCAAAAGGACAATTTAGGCAAATTTAAAGCTCAAATAGCACATCTGTACTAATATAATTTATACAAAATACTAGCAGCATGTTTCTGCTTTTAAAATCCTCTTTTGCGCTGGGCCCATAGACTTCCATTGTAAGTGCATTACTGTAAAGATGCTAAAAATAAAGGTCAAGTCATAGTTATTTTTGTGATAATGGACATTTTACCACAAAAAACATGTTGTCGATCTTAACTTAAGAGCTTAAGTTATGTTGGACCTGTATGTACTGTATAGAGCAGAAGATGAATACAGTATAAGTGGCAAACTGACAGCTTCATTAACACCACAGAATGAGGTGAGAAGGTGAGAGGTTATTGATGCTCCTCGAAACATTCATACTACTGAGGTGCTGCGAAAATATCAATGTCTTGCTCTGAGAGAGCGAGAGGTACAGGGAAGTGCACTTCCCCTCTGCCCTTCATAAATTCTCCAGTCGCCTTCAAGGAGGACATTCAGATTGAGCACTAATGCAGGTGTTTGAGTGAGCTGAGCGCAGACAGACGAGCCGCTCTTTGATCTGATGCTGCCTCTCATATTAATGGGACTGGAGATAGAGTGGCCTGAGCTCTCTGTCTGAGCTTTAGTCTTTCTGTAATCCAATCCCTCATTTCTGCCCCATTACTGCTCCTCATCGCTCAGTCCATCCCTCACTCTGTGCCTCCTGTGTTTCTCCTCATTTTCTAATTTACTCTTTCATTCCACCTCTCAAATACCACTCACCCTCTTATTCGAGCCACAGAGAGTGCAGATTTCTTTCCTACTGACTCCCACCTGATTTAACAAGCATTTTCCGCAGTTAGGGGCCGTGTGCTAAAGTACAGTAGTGTTAAGGTATGCGGTAAAGTATGCAGCAAAGTAAACATTTCAAACTGTAACTGTCATGTGCATTTTAAATAAAAGAGGGTTATTTTGCAATTTCAATGCAGTTTTTTGTGGAAAATGCCTTCAATTTAGGTATCTGATTAAATAATGAGCCAAGAAAGAGATGTTAAAGAGCACATTAAGTAAGAATTGGAGTTTTGTGGCTTTTAGTCCATGTCTATTAGTGCTACTCTTAAAAGCTGAGAGAGAAGAAAAAAAAGCTTTTAGAAAACAGACACATACACAAGTTTATAGGCTTTTTCTTCCAGTAAAATGGATCAGAAATAGTGCCAACAGTATATTACATTGCTTCTTGCACATTTTGCAGCACTTTAAAAGTGAAATGTCCAGTGACATTTATCCGAAAGAGATCAATGCAACAGCATTTTATTATGTTCGTTGTTGATGTACGTATCACAGCAGTTATGAAATTAAATGTCACGTGAGTGGTGCTAAAAGGTGAATGCTCGATCAGGTTTGAAAAGAACATACTACCTAACCTAACCAAATATGAGACAAACTAGTGCTGGGCGATATGACCAAAAATTTATATCACGGTATTTTTCAAAATTATACCGGTTTCACGGTACAAAACGGTATTTTTTTTTTCATGCATGACCGGGTGTTAACCATATTTTCTACTGATTGAGAGAGGAAATACTGCAGTATATTGACTTAGAATTGTCACGGTTCATGGATCCGTGTGTTCAATTCTGCGTGTCTGTTTGTGTTACCTGTCTGATTGCTCGTCAGCGTTGCTCCGGCAACCAAGGGACTGACGAGCTAATCATTTCACGCTTAGTAACACATACAGCTGTTCCCTCACCACAGTGCAACAGTGAAAAGGGACCCCTTTCAAACAGTGTCGCGTTCCGAACGTTGTTTAAGTGACATACACTGGTATTGCAGTATTTTAAAAATTCATATCATAACAAAAATAAACACCGGTATTCGGTATGAACCGGTATATAGCCCAGCACTAAGACAAACATACATTTGCTGAAGCAACCATGCTATTTTAGATTCTACATGTCTTTAAACTCTTTTATTGTGAATCATACCCAAGTGCTCCACATTGTGCAGTGCTGTACCAGGTGAGCTACCGAGCAAGTTTACTATCTCAGAAAAGCCATATATCGAGCTGGATATGTTATGCAAATGTCAAAATGTATACGTTTTCAAATCATGAACTATGGTAAAAGTGTTCTGAGGTCATAACATGGTATTGTGCAAAGAACTGTGTGGAAATGAGTTTTTATCAATGAATAATCTGCCCCTGTAATCATATTTTTTGTGTGTTTTACTGCCACTAGTATTCATTTCAGCTTTGAATTTTTCTTCTTTATTCATTTCATTATGAAACCCCTTAGAAACCCCTAAGAGGGAAAAAAGACATGTTGTACATTTTATTATTGCTTTATATGAATTGAAACACGGCTATTGAACAGGTGTTTCACATCATAGCTGTTACTATATTTTGTATTTTTGCATGGCTGGAACACTATATTGACCAATCAACATCCAGGATCAGAGCTATACATAATAACTACAGTTTATGGTTGCTTCTCAATCGAAAGGCAGCCTACGTTTAAAGGGGAAGTCGTGGCCTAATGGTTAGAGAGTCGGACTTGTAACCCAAAGGTTGTGAGTTCGAGTCTCAGGTCTGGCAGGAATTGTAGGTCGGGGGAGTGAATGTACAGCGCTCTCTTCTACCTTCAGTACCACAACTGAGGTGCCCTTGAGCAAGTTGAGCACCCCAACTGCTCCCTGGGCGCCGCAGCATAAATGACTGCCCACTGCTCCGGGTGTGTGTGTGTTCACTGCTGTGTGTGTGCACTTTGGATGGGTTAAATGCAGAGCACTAATTCCTAGTATGAGTAACCATACTTGGCCACGTCACGTCACTGTCACGTTTTGCGTTCTTCATTGCATGCTTTGAAGGGTGCATCAAGCATATCCCTAGTGTTCTCCAATCACCCACAATCCTGTGCAAACATTCCAATTCACAAGAAAAAAAAAAATGTCAGCACTCAATTAGCATTGATCTCATCCAATTTCATTATGTAATGCAAGACAAAAAAAAAGGTTTTATTCTGTTTTATTCTAAATCACATCATTCTAAAACGTCCATGATGTAAACCACTGGGAGACCACCAAATTGGTTATCCTTCACTGTATTGCATTATTAGAAAGTCAATACATTTGAAGAGTTTTAATATAAATTATTTTTCCAAAATTAATTTTTAATAGTAGTTTTTGTGAAACCTTTATGTCGTAGCTATGTGGACTTTGTGTGTATTTCCTGTTTAAGATTGTGGAAATGTAATGAAAATAATCTCACTTTTCCTCCTCTTTCATTCACAGGGTCTTTCAGAAGTGAAGGAATTAAAGCGTCTGATGTTCTTCCTGTGCTGAGAGAAAAAATAGCGTTTGTATCAGGTGAGTGTGAGATGTGTTAGATGTTTTGAGCATGAGTGACAAAAAGTGTCTGATTTTCATTCTGTTGTTATTTACTCACTCACTCACACATTTTTGAAAATGATTGATGGTTGACACTGGGCCTTCCTCATTTGGCTCTGGTGTTGGTGGTACATCCAGCTACAGTACATCCAGATCTGTTCTTAACTGATACTGATCTGATGGGACTCTCCTGACTTCTATGAAATATCACAGACTTTAACCTGCGGCTGTTTCACATGCTTTGGTGTGTTAACAGCTGGCTGAATTTAGTGAGCTCGTTCAAGCATGCCATCCAGAAGTCAAAATATTAGATTTGAGGCACAGTGATTTGTGTGCTAGCTAATCTTGTAATATGTGAGATAAAGCAGCCATCAAATGCCTAATATAGACACTGTCTGTCCGTCTACAGTAGAATGTGAATGCTTCATACTTAATGATGTGAAACCGCCAAAATGAGTTTTATATGAGTTATATCTTACCTGTGTATGAATGAAATCAGTCTCAAAATCAAGGTGTTCAAGACACTTTATTTCTAAAGAAATCAGGGATGATTCTCTAGAGGTGTCAGTATTGATTTGTCAGCACAATCTCTAACTGTTTTTTGCCTTCGTCCTTCGTCTCTCATACACATTTTTATCATGGATCCTGTTCTCTAGCCCCCCTTTCCCCCACCATTTCCTATAGCTGCTCCAAATGATCTCATCTCCTCTCTCCATGCTTTTCCTCAAAACCCACTTGATTAGAGGTGTTATTCATTTCTGTAGCACACGCAGTAATGTATAAAAGTATAGTAAGCCTAAATATGAGCAATAGTAATAGGGATGCAATAGTAAAGCTTGCCATAGAAAACTCTTATTATGCTACCTTCTAAAACTTATTTAAGTTTGTCAGAGGAAGAGAACGAGAGAACGCAAACATGTTGAATTATCATTTTTCATCCCATCTCATCTCATCTCTGTAAATGTACATTTCTGATAACAAAAATAAGAAGAAACGAAAGTATTTAAATTAAAATATATGCAATGTGTCACTCAGTGACTTCTGGGAATCTCCTTATAACCATAAATAACACGGTGATTCATAGTTTTTACTTCCAGAACCCAGAATTCTGACTGTATATACAATGCAATGTTGAACTATTTATTTATTTATTTTTGTATGCAGGAGGTCGTGATAAGAGAGGTGGCCCCATCCTGACCTTTCCCGCCAGGAGTAACCATGATCGAATAAAACAAGATGACCTGAGAAGATTCGTGACGTACCTGTCCACGGTGCCCAGGTAACTTAATGTTAATGTGTGGATTAAACAAACTGCAGAGCATACATGAGCATTATGGATGTTAATGTGTCTTAATCCTGTATAAACAGGTATCTGCTCTGCCCTCCTGGGCTCAGTAATAGCATTACAAGAATCATACGGCATAGTATAATATTAGTCTGCATTATGTATCTTATTAAAGGATCGCAGAGTAATATATTCACAGCACAGGGATTTGAATAAACTCTGCCTTACTGTGGTTTTGTTCTCTAAGCTCCTCACAGAAAGAATTATTCAAGAACAAGCATTATATTCCCACAGTGAAAAGTTGTGTTGGAAAAATTGGAAACTGAATTGCATAACTCTAGTTCGACATGTCTCTGATTAGCTGTGTTGCAGGTTAAGTCTAAATCTAAAACTTCTTCTATAATTAATTATTATACATGCAGTTTTAATGAGCTCATATTATGTAGTGTACTTTTAAAAAATGAATGTGTACAGTATTTGCAGGTTCTTATATACGTTCATAATAAATTGCAGCCTGTAAATATATGGGCAACGTATTAATTTAAACCATAAAAATGTAAAGGTCTTGAAGTCATGGATTTCAAAGGCATTTATTTATTTATTTATTTATTTATTTATTTATTTATGTATGTATGTATGTATGTATGTATTTATGTATTTATTTGTTTGTTTGTTTGTTTGTTTGTTTGAAAATATATATTTATTTATTTATTTACTTTCAAATTAATGAAACAATATTTAGTTAGTTTGTTTGTTTGTTTAAAATTATACTTAGCAGTAGTCATTGGTTGGAACTTTTTTATTTGTTATGACAATCTTTTTAAAATGATAAACTGCAGCCTGTAAATAATTATTGACAACCTTAAATTCTTGAAAAGTCATCGATTTCAATGATAGTTTTTATATCTTTAAAATTATCATTCTCAAGTAATCACAAACCACTAGAAAAAAAAAAACATGAAAACATTCATTGATCTAAAGGTGTTTGACCCCTGAATAGACTGCGGGAGAAAATTTTGGATTTTGTCTTCCAGAGCCTTACTGCTGTGCTCTGTTAAGGGTTTAAGAGTTGTAAAAGTGTGTTAGTTGGATGTATACCTGTTAATGTTAATTGAAATATTCTCTTAGAGTATTTAGATAAACTGGATCCTTTGCATTAAATTGTCAGGACTGGTATTGTGCCAGTTTTGTTTTCATTCCTGTCCGTGTGTGTGTGTCTGTGTGTGTGTGCGTGTGTGTGCATGTGTGTGCGTGCGTGCGCGTGCGTGCGTGTGTGTGTGTGCGTGTGTGTGCGTGTGTGTGAGTGTGTGTGCGTGCGTGTGCGTGTGTGTGCGTGTGTGTGCGTGTGTGTG